TACCTATAAGTACCAGTCCCATAAGTATTCGTGTACCTTCTATGAGAAATTTGTTTAATTTAAATGAATGCTTCATGTTTACAAGTAAATTTATACACATGTAAATATATACATGTGGGAAGTTTATTTGTTTACATATTTATAATGGAAAATTGATTTAAAAACATGAAGCCTATCATTTAAGTTAGACTCTTCAATAGATGTATTGGGTACGAATACTGATGGGATTGACTGTATATAATTCAATAAATATATATCAATATTTATCTCAACCTTTGAATTTTTCTTAAAAATTCACACGAACTTCCTGGACAACCCAGTAAAAAGAGAGATGATCCAAGAAAGAATTGTTTGGAAGCCTCGCTATAATTTACTGAATATTAATGTGTAATTACTATGATGTGTATTACTATTAAGGAGGTTGTGATTGAGCAATGTAGGCCAAAAGCGTGATATATTCTCGACTCGACTGTCCATAAATAGTTAGAGGCTAGACTGAGTTTCAGCCAGCAGAATTTTCACGAAAGCTTTCATTAAATAATCCGATTCCGGTTCGCTAAAGACTCTGCAAGTTTGACGATCATCCAGGACGTCGACGACAACATCTGAAGCCCCGTGACGCGTAACGAAGGAAACGTGGTGCATTATCAAGTGGCGGCAATCGAAGAACGCGCGACCCGAAGTCAACGGCGCAGGTATAAATACTTTGGAATTGGACTCGCAATTATGCGCGGGCACGGTTATCCGTAATCGGCAAAGTGGAAGGTTATTTCCGTGCAGGATTCAGCGATGATCGATCCTCTTCTGAATCCGAGCGGAAACACGACGCCTCTCGAAGGCCAAACGCGAAGGTAGCAATTTTCAAATATTAAGGCTTGAATGACACTTGAACGATCACGGTTGTAATCATTTACGATTTCTTCGTCCCGTTTCGGCGGAGATCCTCCTTCCGTTTCACCTATCACGATTCGAGTGGGGCGATGCGCGATACGCTAATGAAACCGCACTCTCATTAAAGCATCCAAATCGACGATACTAATTGGCCCCAGCTTTCGGAATACCCGGCATTATACCTCAGGATGCGATATAATAATCGTTGCGGACGAATTCGGTTTGGACAGCCGGTGGTTAAAGCGTCTAGTAATTTCACGGACGCGACCCTAGACCGATTAATACCATTCCGACGGAAATTAACGACCGCAAATGGAAAAAAGGGTGGTCCTCGTTCGACCGTCGGACGTCGAAGATCGCTCGAAGTCGCTGGCATTCGCGACGTACACGGCTCATCCGCGTCTTCTTCGGGTTCGGATTCTGTCGACTGCCCTAAGGTATTCGGGAAATGTGAAGTTACGTATGCTATAAACCTTTCTGAAAAATATCTCTTAATATTTTTGAGTTAATAAGAGAAGAAGTAAGATACTAAATCAAACATCGGAATATTACAATAGGTAAATCTAAATAAAAAAATTGAGTACAAGGATAATTTCTCAAGCAAAAATTATACTAGAACAAAGGAAGTTTTAGTGAAGGTTTCTGTTGACAAATTAACTACAAGAATATATAAAAAGATTTATTTTTATTTATTTATTTCGGTAGGAAAGTCAATTTTACACAGACGCAGTCAATCCCATAAGCATTCATACCTTTCATGTCTGTTGACAAAATTTGTCTTAATTAATAATAGCATTGGTGTCTCCAAATAAACTTTACACTTATTTGGAAACATCAAACCTACCACTTAATTTAGACATTCTTCGATACATGTTAAAGATACGAATATTTGAGAGTGATTGTATTGCTGGGCAATACGATGAGGTAAGGTGTACTGTACCTTAATCAGTGGCACGTATTACCAGTACAAAGAGCATGCAAGACAACTCCAATGGCTTGATGTGCAACCAATACGTAGCTTTGAGTCTTTGGACTTGGAGGCAATTAACAGAGGAATCTACAAAGTGCATAAATTCATCCATCTGGATTCTTGTTATATTTAAGTACTCAAACAGTGACCTGTTCTTTGAAGCCTGTCACCTCAGACAATTTTGAAATTCTCAGATCATTCTACAGAATTCTAAGTGCATAAATTCATCACTCAATATCTTGTCATATTTGAATCCTTAAACATTGATCTGTTCTTTGTAGCCTGTCACCTCAGGAAATTTTAAAATTCTCACTTCATTCTGCCTCTTAATACACACTTGTACCAAACAAGTTACATCACGAGGCCATCTAGGAAATTTTCAGAAGATCAAACCTTGACGATAATTTCTCGGCGATCGACGACTTACATTAATCACTCGCACTCAGTTATTCCCAGAAACTCTGAACGACAGCGTCCTAACGAAACAGCAGCAATTACCTGGTTACGTGTCGCGTTAGCATCCCGTCAAGAGCCAATCGGTTGTCTCGCAATCATCGAAGGTGTCTTCGTCACTTCCCTGGGAGCCCTTGGTTCCCTTTTGCCTGTCCGTTCGCTGTTTTAAAAACTGGCGAGAAATATTTGCACGACGACCATTATAAAACGCCTTTCATGAGGGACAAAGTAGCTGGCGGGCAGGGAAGGTGCGCGCTCCCGCCCTTTGACAATAATTTGTCCAGAATAACCGGCTCGTTTCTCTCTACCTCTTCGCTCTTCCGCTCGATGATCCATCCAGCCGTTCGTCATAGGCGCTTTTAAAAAAGTGAACCGCTGGACTCGGGCCAGCGCAAAAATAGAAGCAGATGTTGTTAGTTGCGTTCACCAAGTACACGAACCGCGGCTTCGACGATGGATACCCGGTCCTGGGACCCCACAGAGTCTCTTCTGGGGCGTGGAACGGAGAAACGGAGGATGGGGAAGGATACGAAACGAAGATCACTGCCCTTGAATTCGCGCTAATGGCTCGGATGAGAATTCTTAACGCTTCGTGTAGGAGGCTTTGACACATCTAACTGGGGGATTTTTAGGAAAACGATGAGGAATTAATGCTTTTTAGGAGGACGAGGAATTAATGCTTTAACCCATTCACTGCCAGGTAAATTTAAAGCGTTTTGCTTTGGGCTAAACTTGGGAAGATTTAATACAGATGTGTAATCTAGGTTATTATTTTGATAGTAGAAAGTGACATTAAATTTGTCGTTGTGAAAATAAATTTTACGATCTTCTTTTACTATACTTTGTGACTACAGTTGAAAATAAAATTCCTGGTCTACTAGGTATCTAGTTATTATTATTATTATTATTATTATTATTATTATTATTATTATTTATATTATTGTATAAACACACTATGCTATGAAAGGTTAAAATATTTATTAGCTGGTTTGACACTTGAGGTGATATTTTTCTATAAAGCTACAAAATTTTTGGAAAGATGGAGAAAAGTCGTAAAATACAATGGTTTGCATACAGCTCAGTAATGTAACATAAATATTGCGTACGTGTTACTTAAAAATAAACCAATAGAAACTTCAACATAATAAATATCATTCAGAAACAAGTTTAGCCTATTCACTGCCACCTTGGTCAGCGAATATTTTTATTGTTGTTTGAATTAGGAATTATTAGAAAGGATGAATTAGAATTTAATACAGTGTAAAAGACATATTTAATACTAGAATTTTATATTATACAAATAATAACTCAGACGGTACGGTTATAACATGTTAATTATACACGGTGTCCCAAATTTATTGGAGTTCCTTGAAAGGAGTGGTTCAAGGAGTGATTCGAAACAACTTTTTCCTTAGCGAAAATGTTGTCCGAGGCTTCGTTAAAGAGATATTAACAGAAAACCCCAACTAATCAGAGCGCGAGTATGCCGGTAGAGCGTAGTCTATATTACTGCGGCCGTCTAGCGGGCAGCCTACGCACCGCGGTTGCCTAGCGGTAGCCTACGCACCGCGGGTGCTCCAATTTGTCGGGGTTTTCTGTTAATATCTCCTTAACGAATCCTTCTCATACATTTTCGCCAAGGCAAAAGTTGTTTCACATCACTCCCCGAATCACCCCTTTCAAGGAACTCCAACATTCTTCTGACACCCTGTATACCCTTAGCAACGGAGCAAAACGCTCTAAATTTGTCTAACAGTGAATGGGTTAGACAACATACAAATAACAAATTGTTTTCTGGCAGTGCCTGCAAATGGCGATCCTTTGTGAAACCTCCATTCCCACAAGAAGAAATTCTGGACCGTAGGCGCTTAACGGAAATAAAATTAGCTAGATGACGATGACGCGTCGTGACGTGTACGTGGGGCGCAATAGTCGCCGAATTCTATCCTCGTAGCGTCGTGACGCGTTCACCTCACCCTCTGCGTCGCCTCCTTCGCTCCGCCGACCAAACGTTTTTGCTTTGATGTCGGAAGATGAACGGGCATCCTCCTAATTTCTACTGTCTGCATTCTTAACAGCTGCACGCACCACGCTCCGGTACGGCTGGCGGGAGGTCCGCGTTTAATTAGTATCGTGTTTATGCGAGTCGTCCGCGCCCTTTCAAGTATTCGGCTGGCTGGGGACTATTTGAAATCCTATCGATCGCCTGCGTCTTACTCGCCTAATTGTTGTCTAGAAGTGGAGCAATCGCCGGCAAAGAAATGTGAATGTGAAAATGTTTAAGTGAAGCTTCGTTATTAGTCTGTTAAGAATTAAAAGGGATGATCAAGTAATAATAATATATATATATATATATATATATATATATATATAATAGAAAGTAATTACGGGTCTTCAAAAATTGTATTCGACATAAAATTAAAAATCGCTTTACATATATAATTTTACAAATCGACTTCGTTCAGGTTGCATTTCTGTAAAGATATTTCAAGAACGTTGCGTCCAAATTCGAAGAAGAAATTTCTATGATATAAAGAGAACATTAAAAAAATGTTACCGTGGTCAACGATAACGTTTAATTCGAAGTTCGCAAGCAATATTCCCACCATTATACGAGTAGAGCGTCAGGAGGCGTAGCGATTTCGCCTATTAGATCGGTCCTCAGAGAGTTTTGGTCGATTCGCAGATTACGAGTCCCCGGGATGCAAGACTGACATGGCAGAGGGTTCGGCCGAAGAGGAACAGAGCAGTACTGCTGCGCCCGCTTCCCCGCCAGCTGATCTTCGCACTCTGAACACCCGATTGTCGCCGCCTTATCACCACCAGCCCCATCTCCACCCTCGTCTTCAGCATCTGCAGCATCCCAACATGTTGGCGACCGCCGTACCGCCCAGGCACAGCCACAGGATGCTGTCTCATCAGGTGAAAACGGAAGCGGAGTTCGACGGTCCCTGCGACGTGCCATTGAATCTGAAGAGCGAGGTAAGTCCATGAATCTACGTGAACTATGCCACGCGATCGATTACGATTCGTTCCTAATCGGGACGGGAACAGTCTTGGTCGAATCGATGATTAGTCGACCGATTAATTAGACTGGAATCCTTTGGATTCGTTGCCGGTCTTTTGAAGCATGTGAATTCTAATCTTCGGTTCTTTCGAATACTTTACGAGATGTTCTGAAAAAGGAAATATACAGTTCCATAAATATTTGTATGGTTATTGAAGAAATTTGTTTAAATTAAATGATAGGTTCGAAGCTTCGTATTAGGAGTACCGAAAAGTAATCAAAATTTTATCAACATTTATTTATTAAAGAAATCTCAAATACTAATCAACATAGTAATTTTAATCATTTTATAACAAATTTTGCCATCGTAAAGGCAGTTGTTCGATTCCATTTTTGAAAAAGTCCTTTGATTTTTCAATGAAAAACTTTTCCAAGTCTTCTAATATGTTTGTATAAATATGTTGATAAATATATAAATATACTTTTATAAGCTTATTTATAAACATATTTATAATGAAGAATTCATTTGGTAATACGAAAAATACTATTCAATTTAGTCAAACTTCTTCAATAGAATAAGAATATTGATGGGATTGAGTGTAAAAACAATTGGAATAATTGTTTTTATCCAATGTTTAGAAATATATTTTGAAACTAAGTATTCATTTTTCTAAATATAGAATAGAATTGACAGAAAAAAAATTAGTTTAAGTAGTTCCTCGAGATAACTTTAGTGTCACCCAGTGTACTTGACTGTCTCGGCTCGACGGATGTTATTATCAACTTAAAAATGGATGAAACTGATACTGTTATCGTGTTAAAAAAGTTTAGAAATGCACATTTTGCAAGTGTACAAAACTGTGCTCTCGTTATCTGCGTATTGAAGAATAGTAAAATTGAGACAAAGCAAGTTGTGATATTGACAGACGTGAAACAAACCTCTATAAAGGGAAGCCTTTAAAGATCCTCAACTTTTCATTCTACATACATTACAACCTCAACATTTTTATTATACATACATTGAATACATACTGAAGAACGAAAAATAATTTTGATTTTAAATTTTGTCGATGTAACATGTTTTATTTTTGTCTATAAATTTATGACACCCAATTTCAAGTGAACTGCAGGTTCTAGTAGATCCAGACGATCTAGTCAAACACGTCGTCAACTTTCTTAAATTTTCCCAAAAGCCACGCTGGAAAATATTCTTTTTCAAATTCATTATTCCTAATTATTACCTGCGTTAGACACTTTTACACAAAAATCAGATGCACAAGATTCCTTTAATTCAGTCTTTGTCAATCTTCAGCAAAAATATTCCAAAGCTTTATTATCATACATACATTGAATATGTATTAAACAACGAAACAATAAATATTATTTTAATTTTTGGATGTAACATGCTTCGTCTCTTGTCTGTGACACCCAATTCCAAGTGAACTGCAAGTTCAAGTAGATCCAGCCGATCTAGTCAGACACGTCGTCACCCTTCTTAAATATCCTTAGACAACCACACTCGACAATATTTTTTCGTCAAACTCCATTATTATTTCTAATCATAACCGGCATTAGAAACCGAACCAAACAAGGCTCAATAAAGGGAAGCCTTTATATAGCCCTCAACTTTAGCGCGTACCATTTCGTTTCATTTGTAGTTACGCAACCCGACGAGTCCCAATTGCGTGACGCCACCCTTTATTAGTTCGACGATCCTCATTAGGCATGGCGCGAGATTATAGACGAAGGATCCGCCGCTGGATCCGTGGACGCGATTCGTCCCTGATGATTAATAAGAAAGCCTCTTCGTCGAGGCGATCGTCGCGCTCGTTACCAACGGTTTTGTGTGTCAATGACAACCAATTGTCTGCTTAAGTAGCTGCCGCGCCGCGTCCCAACCTAAATCGGCCAATGGTCTCTCTGACCTGTATACGATTAACGTACAAAACAAAGCGTCTCGAACGACTTCCATGTGGATGGATGGGGTCAACGGACAACCGCTCATTCTTTCTGCCACGATTGCGCAACGCAACGTCGCGATTCCGACGGAAAATCTTGCGCCTCGAGATGTCCCGGCGCTCGCACGTTATTATAGACAATAAAGTTAGGAAAAAGACGAATTTAAAAATTGGAGAATTTTTTGAAATATTGTGGAAGGGTGGAAGAATATATTAGAATTATTAGAATATATTAGAATGATTTTGTTCATTTTTGCTGTTTTGGATTTTGCTGTCAGGTGCTATTTTAATATTTCTAAGGATGTGTAGTGATTCATGGCGTTCTTTAGTCATTAAAAAGTCAAATAAATTTAATATATTGTATAAGGAACAAGTATAATTATGAACCATACCTTCAGAATTACGTTTCTTCAATTACTTATTTAACAAGAACATTGAAAAGCACAAGTATTTTTAATTTTGCTGTTAGGTACTATTTTAATATTTCTAATTATGTGTGGTGGTTATTTTCATGGTGATTTTTTGTCATTAAAAAATCCCATGAATTTAATATACTGTATAGAGAACCAGTACAATTAAGAACCATGCCTTCGAAGTTGCATGTCTGCAGTAACTTATTTAAAGAGTACATTAAAAATTACAAGTTCTTATCTGAAATTATATGAATAAATAAAAGTGTTACTATAAAATTTTAATGAACATAAAAAAACTAGTAAAATAAACTACAATTACGAATCATCCCTTCACTTACTTATTTAACAAGTACATCAAAAAGAACTTACCACGAATTCCATAAATATAAATACAAGCGCATTAACATAAAAGTAAAACGAATATAAAACCCCACTAAACATCGAATTATAATAAACACAGTGCTCTAAATTTCCTATATTCACCCTTCTGAAATTGCTCCACGTTTGCATTCCTCCGAAGGCACGATTTCATTTCCCACACGTCACCTCCCGCCAAAAAGAATTTAGCGACCCAGTACGAGCTTGCTCGCATTTCAAAATCCTAACGAGAAATGATAATGTAGACGCAAGAACACGAATTTCCCATTTGGAATTTCCACGCGGTGTTTCGCAACTTACGAATCGGTCGCGCGATCGGACACGATTTAGGCGGAAAATCATGCCCGGCCGTAAATCACGCGGCCCGAGTCGCTTTCTACCGCTCGGTATCAGCGGTCTCGCGGTTAGAAAAAGAGACAAAGGCGTTATCGCGAACACGTGAGTGGCCGTTGTGGCAATCTAATCTCCATACTTGGTACATGTCCGTTGGCGCATTAGGCGCTCGAAACGGTTTGCTGGGTTATTACTAGAAACTGACGGAAAAGACTGCTCCCGTTAGGCGATCGGTTGCCCGTGGGAAAATCCTGTTGGATAGAATGTCAAAGTTTCTAACGGGTTGCCACCGACTCCTCTGCCGCGACATTTGCCTAAGCGCGAGATACTTCCGCGTTCCATCGACGGAGCAAAGTCTAATCACAGTTTACAATCCGCCCCCATGGAAAAACCTGAGCGTCGATCATTTATCAATTCGTAATCCGTATCGGAAGATGAACGGATCAGGATCACTTTAGATCTCTCTTTCCCCAGCCGGACTCTTATTTATCACGTATAATAATTGTTTATTGCGAGGCCAGACTGCGAAAGCTAGACAGGCTGGTACACGGCTACCAACTGTTCCAGATCTCGTTTTGCCCGCTCGGAACGACGTTACTCGCGTGTAACGGGGCGGAATTAATATTTATGGCGGTTCTGATACACGCGGAATCTTTCGTTCAGATCGTAAAGCAGGAATTATTAGGGAGATTGTCGGCGGGGGCCTAATCGCGTTAATCATGGCTCGGTGTCGTCTGCGTGCTAGGATTGATGCGTCAATTTGTAAAGGGCACTCGCGATCGTTTATCGAGAGTCTTTCTTTTTATTATTATTTGCGAGGGAGCTGATTCTTTTTGTTTGGGTCTGGGTTTAACCCTTTGCCCTACGATTTACTGTATGGACTGTAATCAGGTATAAAATTCCTTGTGCGTTTTCGTACGACACGTGTGAGACTCCTGTCACACAATTCGAGTCGAACCTGAAAACCACGAGTCACACACGTGTCGTACGAAAACGCACAAGGAATTTTATACCTGATTACAGTCCATACAGTAAATCGTAGGGCAAAGGGTTAATAGATACAATTATAATTTTATAGGGTGTTTCTTGAATTTTAAGATTATTGTGGACGAAAAATATTCAGTACACCATAGGTTGTAGTCTTTAATTAATAGAAATTCAATAATTTAGCTTTCGAGGATTTACATACAGTCAGTCCCATAAATATTAGTACCCTACATGTCTATCGAAAACATTTGTATGACTACAATTATAGGTTTAATGTTTCCAAGTGAATAATTCATTATAACCGTAGGCATACATACATTAATAAATGTTACACGTATGTATTATATATATATATATATTTATAGAAAAAGATTTATTAGGTAACATCAAATCTATTATACATATAATTTATACAAATTTCTTCAATAGACATGGAGGTTACGAATACTTATTTGATTGACTGTATTTGATCAGTGAACAAACAAAATTGTGAATCGTGCTACAAATTCTAGAAATAAACAAATATAATTGGTACCATAGGTTGATGTCTTTAATTAATAAAAATTCAATAATTCAACTCGCGAGGCTTTAGTTAATCCTAAAGAACAGAAACGAATTCATTAAATTATTCAAGATATTAATAAACTACAACATGTTAAATAAATTATAATTGAATTGTAATCAATAACCTCGTGGTTGATATGACCCTAAATAAAGTAGTAAAAAAAAATTATGAATCACGCTACAAATTTTAGAAATAAACAAATATAATTGGTAGCATAGGTTGATATCTTTAATTAATAGAAATTCAATAATTCAGCTCGCGAGGATTCAAATATTCGACACAGTGTATTGATGGACAAATTTAATTTGTCTGAATTAAATGACAGGTTTGGTGTTTTTAAATCAATGTTTTATCATAAATATATACACATGCAAAGCATTCGTGTATATATTTATAATGAACAATTTATTTGGAATCGTCGATTGGAATCGAAGATTGTGAATCATGCTACAAATAGGAGTAAACAAATATAATTCCAGTGTATCAAATCGCCTAAAAATGTAGATTCAAAGTCTCGTCCAGTAGATATTTCGACAGGCCGCCTTTTCAACCGCAGAACCTCGCGTCCATTCCGCATTGGTGAAAGTCCCAGATCGGTCCAGCGTACCGAGGTGGCAATTTCGCGAAATAATAGAACGAAATAGGTCGATACAGTGACCAGCGTGGCCAGTTAATGTCGCCCGTAATCCTAATCGTTGTCGCATTCACGTGGCCGGGTGTATTATTAAAGCACGACAAAGGCACTTTTCCTCGGACAGCTGTTGATTCGTGCATCAAAAACGTACAATTGGCGGTTGAACAATGCACAACAATGATGCCAATTAGCCGACAAAAGGGAGTAATAGTGCACTAGAGGAGGACCGAGGCGGCAGCCTGAGACTAGAGTCTCGAAAACAGCAGTCTCATCCGTTAGCTCCGGCGTTCCTGTCCATCCATTACACTATTATCCCCTCAGCAAACACAGGATCCATCCTCTGGACTCCACGCATGGACTTAATGCCCGCTCTCGGCCAGGGTCTGAGGAGGGAGCATGCAATTTACGCGCAAAAGAACTAGGATGTATCGTGCCCAGCCCTGGCGCAAAAAGAAATGCCTCTGCTTAACAGGGTACAGCATACATAATAATGTCGTCTGGGCGTTTCCGCGTCGGAGGGTGAGGCTCGATGAAATATGAAATAGCCGGCGACGATCTCCTTATTTATACGTATTAACATGTCAAAGCTGCTTAGAGTTCTTTCACCTGGCTGGGCTTTTTCGCACCGTCGACGTTTTAAATGTCGATCGTTTCGGGTTTCTTCACAGAATTTCTCCCTACGCGGTCCTTCAAAATACAAAATTCACTGTCTAAATCTAGTTAGGAAGGTTCGTCGAGGTTGGATGCTGAGGTCACAGATCGAGATTTCTCATCGTTGTTCTTCAAAATAAATAATCGAGCTTGGATGCTGAGATGACAGAATTTCTTACGGTTTGAGATCAAAGTGTCGGACACTACAATTTTTATTTGCTATATTGAATGAAATACAAGTTTATTTGAAACGCAACAACCGAGATTTCTCATCGTCGCTCTTCAAAATAAATAATTTAGTATTCCAACTGATATACAATATAATTAATGTTAATATTCATCCCAAAGCCTCTAAATTATGTCTATTTTCTTTGCATTATGTTTCTCTTTGATTCATTCTGTTCTAAGTCTGTTTCACCGTCCCTCTTCAAAATAAATAATTTAGTATTCTAACTGATTATACAACTTCATTAATATTTATATTCGTCCCAAGGCCTCTAAATTACATCTATTTTCTTTGGATTACAATTCTCTTCGATTCATCCAATTCTAAAAATACCTGTCAATTACCTAAAGCAGCATCCCAACAAATTACCTCCTCGATAAAAGTAATCCAGTGTCTCGTTACCTCGCCAGGTGATAAAGAGCCTGCAACAGTGAGAAGGTGAGGGCGGGGAGGATTCCCGCGGAATCACCGAATCCGCAAGCCGCAGTCTTGGCCCTCTGCGCAGCAGCTATCGCAGTAATTGTGAAATTCGATCGAAACCCGAGTGACTCGGTGAAATGAACCGCCGAGGTAATGAGATCCGAACGCGAAGTCAGCCGATTTGCTGCGCAGGCACCCCTCGTTTGCCTTCAATCACTTTCGCGACAGATGCATTTACGGTCCAGGCCGGTGGCCGTCAAGGTGGTGCGCCTTAAGGTCCTCCTGTCCTATCGATCCATCGAACGCGACCCAAGAATTTTGCGTCGACTACTAAAACCGTTGAGTGGGCCAACATATACGCTACCGATGGTTTTCTGCCAAATCCCGTTCGAGATCGCTTGGAGGATCGCCTGAACAGTCGTGACGATGCATCTGTCCGCTGTTTAACCGACTCTGATTCGACGATACGTATCGACGCGCAGCCGATTGCCGCAGTTCTTGCGAATCGTCGAATGCACTCGACGTGTTACGTGTTGACGCACGCTGCACGGTGGTCTAGGGTCGTTCAACGCGCGCGCTTGTTGAGTAGCTAACGAGTGGCTAGAAATTGGATGACAGTTGCACTAGCCGATTTAGAGCAGTTTTAGAGTAGCGCGCCTTCTTGCGATTTCGGGGTGAAGGAGTTTGCTGAACGCCGAAGGGGAGGATGCTGGGATAATTGGTTTGAAAGTGATGTTTCAGGTATGATGGAAGATGAAGACATCATAGATGAAGACTCTTGGGAGAATTAGTAAATTTAAAAGAGTTTTCAATTTTACTCGCTTTCTGGCTCATTTTTTTAGTAGTGGATGAATTTTACACCAGAATGAATAGGCGACAGTCAGTCCAATAAATATTCGTACTATCTGTGTCTAACGGAGAAATTTGTCTAAATTAAATGGCAGATTTTATGTTAACAAATGAATTGTTTTTTATAAATCTATATACGTGCAAGTTTTATTCATATACTCATGTTATTGTAATGTGATGTTATAGAACTGAGGAATATACAATATTTTTTGTTGTTTTGTTTTCGAGACGATTCACCGGATGAAACGGACTTGTATATATCGTGCAAACTTCGCGAGTTCTCTTGCGGGTAGGCGTTGGACGCGCGCAGCCACCTAGCGGTTGGGAGCGGTAGTTAAGGAGTAGTAGGTATAGGCTCAGCGTTCAACATATTCTAACGTTTTTTTACGCGCATGATACTCTAGAGAAAGTAATGAAGCTACTGTTAAAATTTGGTATCAATTGATTAAGTAGTTTTTGAAATTTTCGTGTACATACAATTAAACACTGTCTCCTTATATAATAGTAAGATAAAATAAGATATGCTTATAATGAATTATTTATTTAGAAACACATACTTCCGGAATTGACTGTATGTTAAATAAAAAACATTTCTGATTTCAGATGTAGATTGTAATAACGAATAAAGTACTGTAGTATCCGAATATTAATACGAGTCACTGTAGTTATGACTGCCACAAAGTGTCAATATTAAATCATAGCTGTCAGGAAATACATACAGTTAACAATTAACATCTTAATAACGATTCGAAACATAAGGAGAAAAAAAATTACGACTCTTTAAATGTATACTCTTGTCGGAGTCCCTTGGTAATTTGTCCATTTCATTCGTTGACAGGATGAATTTCACGATGCTTCAGGGATCGACAACCAATTACAGCCGCAGCAAAGTATTTACATCGTCTGTGAAAAAGCCGACCAACGATAAACACGATCCATCGGTACGCGTGTGTTCGATCCCCGGCGAGTTCCATGGTTTCTAATTGTCCATGGTCACGTGTACGCGATTCTTCGAAAGTCTCTTCGATCGCTCGCCTCGTTTAGTCACCGATGGCCTCGTGTATCTCACAACGGATCCTTGGAGAACCGCGTCTCTGTGTTCCCGTACTTATTAGCGTTACTATCCATTATTCTCGCGAGAAGTTATTCCGTCGCAATTAAAAAGAAACGGCTAATGGCATTGAGGGGCTCGTTAAACACGCGCCGCTCAAAGGTCTGGCAATTTATGATCTCTGAATAGAGGAGTTCTAGCTATTGGAATTCCACGTGGGTAAACTATTCTCTAAAAGAATCACGAGGTGGTTTCCTGATCTCCATACGGCGCAAGAGACGCGTGGGAATTATTGCGTAGCAGTCAAGTTTACTTGAAATTAGGACAATCCTTCCAAAAAGGCTAGGATTAAGCTGTTTTTCGTTTTTTATTAACTGCTGCGCTTATACTATTGGCTTGTCTGGAAAGTCCATGACGATTTTTGGTGGGTGGTATAGGTCTGAATATATCGGAATGATTGAAAACAAATCACTTAACAGGTGCAAAGTTTGTAGAACAAAATGGTACCTATGTTCAGTAAAGTCTGGATAAGTGCAATACAGGATTGACTGGATAAATGCAAGATGACTATCCCCACCACTGAGGGGTTCCACCTTGATGCTCGTCGAGCGAGCAGTGTAATACGATCTATTGTCTCACCGATACGCTTCGGCCGACTGCTTTTGTTCCTCGGACCTCTTTTTCTTTCACTCTCTGTCCTTTTCTAAGCCTGACGCTCAACTCGAACCAAATTAAAGTCAACACAGAATAAGAACCTCGACTGGATAAATGCAATGTTTGGGTCCCGATTTTCTTGCACTTATCCAGTCTTTATTGTAATTCAATAAATGTACAGTTGATCCAATAAATATTCGTACCTTCTATGCTTGTTGAAGAAGTTTATCTAAATTGAATAATAGATTTGATATTACCAAATGAATTTTCCTTTGAAAATATGTATATGAATAATATATATACATTAACGTATTTATACAGATATACACTTGGAAACATCGAGCTTACCATTTAATTTAAACAAGTTTTTTCAACAGACATACATGGTACGAATATTTATGAGACTGACTGATAAATATCTTGACGATGATAGTGTCGTATCCTAACATTCATTTTAACTCTTTTAGACCTGAATCGTTTATTTTTCTCGTACCAACTTGATTTAATTTTTAGGGTTAACTTGGACTAAAATTAGTATGGAAAAAAATGTTGAAAATTCGAGAAACTGGTCTTTCTTCATGTGCACAAACAAGGACATTTGCCCTAAACGATAGTGTCGGTACTGTACAAGTCTTACTTGCGTCCTCAATTCTGAACGCCAGGTCTGAAAGGGTTAACTCGATGGATGACAAACCAATTTCTCCTCCCGCGTTAAAAAACGATCATCACTTCCTTCGCGTTCTTTTATAACCAACACAATCCACTGTCATTCATTCCAAACACTCCCAGCAATAACCAAAACCCCGAAACCTTGATCGTCTTTACGCTAATTGGGAAATCAATTTCTTCTACCCCTCTAAAATTCATAAATCATCGCGAGACGGACGTCGCTTCACGGATTGGAAAATCTCCGATTTTATGACGCGGCGATCATACTTGCCACTCGCGGAAAGTTTACTCAGCTAATAGAAAAGAAAGAAAAAACGATCCCGGCGATCCCGCCGGGGGGCCGGCGGGGGGTGTGCTGGCTCCCCGATGAGCGCCGCGAGAGCAAGGCAGCCAGAACGACGTCGACGAAAACCTACCAGGAGGAGGGAGGGAGGGAGGGCGGGAGGGAAGGAACAGGTGGATAAAAGGGTAGAGAAACGTAGGCAGATAAAGGGAGCGAGGAAAGGTAGGAACGGTTCGCAAAGCGCGTGGAGAGAGGGGCGGGAGAGGGGTAGAGAAGGAGGGAGGGGATGGGGGAGGGGGTGATATCCCGATCGGCCCGGACGGCTCGTCTATTTCTCCCGCTTGCTATTCGCGGGAGTGATGGAATGTTTATCAATAGATTAATCTCGGAGATCGGCGTGCGGCTCCACACAATCGCTGGAGCGGACTCCTCGATTGCGATTAAACATAAAAGTATTATTTCAATCTGGCCCCCCCCCCCTCCCCCCTTCTCACCCTCCACAGCGCCACGTTTGCCGTACATATTCAGGCTTCCCGTTTGCGGGCGGTGTCTATATGTACCGGGACGAACGTACATCCACCACCGCCGCCGCCGCCATCCCTCCTCCACCCCCCCTCCCCCGCCTCTCGATAGATCGGGCATTTTTCCATTAGATTGGAACTTGATTAAATTGAAAATCTGTCAATTTAGGAAAAAGCATCCGACAGCTTATATTGACGGTGGACATTATACGCCAGTGGCCAGGCAACGAGGCAGAACTCGTTGGCCTGACAACTAGCGCAGATAAAAACCCATCGTCGCAGAGGAAGCGTACTCTACTCGGCCACGGGACGGTATCCGCTTTTTTTTTTCTTTTTCTTTCGTCTTTTTTCTCTCTTTCTTCGTTTTTTCGCCCTTGTAAAATTAATTGCCGACGCTCTTTGAGGGTGACGGTCCCGCGTCGCGGCGGTCGAGGGCCGATCCCGGAAATTTGCTCACGGTGTGTGTCATCCGTTCAATCTCGAACGCTTGACGACCGCGGATCATCCCGCCGGGCGGGGAACGATTCTTTTCGTAATCGACGATTATCGCGTTCGCGTCCGCGGATAACGTGATTTCGGACGAACGCGCGGCGCTGGCATCGATAGCGTTTCGGGCTGTCCGGATCCGAGGGAGGACGTTCGCGATCTGTCGATTCTTTTGTGACATGGGGGAGAGTTGTAGTTTATTAAGAGGGTGGATAGGTAAGACGATGAAGGTTAATTGTATAGGATCTAAGGAGAGAAATCAAATTGGAGGAGTTAAATTCATTGTATGAATTCAGTGTTGAATATTTTCCCTTCGAAAATAAGTTACTTAATTTTCTATGCGCTGAATTTTTCTTCTGCAAATTATTTGCAAGGGATTAGTTTGGTATTTCAGGTTGATGGTAGAGGCATCAATATTGTTATTGGGTTATAAGAGAGATTATATAATTGGAAAGTATACTTCAGATTGTGAACAAATTATTTGGGTAAAATACTACTATTTGAACTTTGATGTATTACGAGTATGTCATCTGAAAGTTATACAGGCCTACAGATGGTTAATGGAAAATTCTGTTTACTAGTGTTTGTTATTAAATATACATTGATTATGTATTGAACAACGAAAAATCATTTTTATTTAAATTTTTTGGATGTAGCATGCTTTGCCTTTTGTCTGTGACACCCAATTGTAAGTGAACAAGGTTCTAGTAGATTCAGCTGATCTAGTCAGACACGCGTCAACCTTCCTTTTCCCCTCACAACCACACTTGACAATATTCTTTCTTTTTCGAATTTATTATTCCTAATTATTATCTGCATGAGATACTTTTACACCAAAGTCAGATGCACAAGATTCCTTTAATTCACGTGTCAGTCTTTGCCAATCTTCAGCAAAAACATTCCAAATCTTTATTATTATACATACATTGAATATGTATTTATCAACGAAGGAACAATTTTTATTTAAATTTTTAAAATGTAACATACTTTGCCTCTTGTCTATTAATTTATGACACCCAATTATCCCCAAGTGAATTTTATATTCTAGTAGATTCCGCCGATCCAGTCAGACAGGTAGTCAACTTTCCTTTTCCTCGCATAGTCGCACTTGACAATATTCTTTTTCAAATTCATTATTCCTAATTACTACCTGCATTATACCAAAGTCACAAAAATTTTTACACCAAAATCAGGTACACAAGATTCCTCTAAATCACGTGTCAGTCTTTGCCAATCTTCAGAAAAAACATTCCAAATCTTAATTATTATACATACATTGAATATGTATTTATCAACGAAGGAACAATTTTTATTTAAATTTTTAAAATGTAACATACTTTGCCTCTTGTCTATTAATTTATGACACCCTATTGTAAGTGTACTTTATTTTCTAGTAGATGCAGCCGATCCAATCAGACACGTCGTCCACCTTCCTTTCCTTCAACAACCACACTAACAAATATTTTGTTTCAAATTCATTATTTCTAATTATTACCTGCATTAGATACTTTGACACTAAAATCAGGTGCACAAGACTCCTTTAATTCACGTGTCAGTCTATCGCGATTTACTTGTCAATCTCCAGCGAGAACATTCCAAGGCGTGCAATTTTACAAGTCCATATACTCAGTTTCGCATTTTTTTCAATGACCAAACAGCACATTGAAGGACATAATCACCACTCGTACCGTATCGGTGTGTGATAATTACGCCTCTGACTACATGACTTTCTGACACTCGACGCGGATTACCCGCGGAGTTACTTATACGCGGATACCTAATTTAGTATAATTAGTCAGCCGTGTGTCCGTGAGTAGCGTCGTGTCGGCGAGTATGTATTTAACCGAGGATCGTTTCTTAACGAGATACCGGGAACCCATTCGAAAATGCTTATTAAAACCAACGATCCCTCTCAGATGTGTCCGGTGAAGCGAGTGGCCAATCAATTATGGGATAGTTGTGGGAATCTTCAATGTGGACCCCTTTTGGAATTAGAAAAAAGAATAACTACAAGCCGTACAATAGTAAATGATTTTTTATTCATCAGTGCACATCTCAAAAGATAAAAATAATAATTTTACATCACGTTCCAGTTGTCTGAAATGAAAACAAAAATCCCAAACCAAAAATCAGTGACACATATTTTTGTAAAATAATGCAGAAAAGTGTGTTTTTCTCGTTAGAAAATGTTAAACATGAAATGTATTTATTAACCAACTAAACAAGATTTAGTTTTTTATAATTATAATTACTGTCAATAATAAAAACAACAAAAATTTGATAGTAACAAGAAAAAATCGCCTCTAAAGATGTTAATAAGTATAATATTACTAATAAAATGACACAAGCATCGAAGAATTTTCAATAAATTTAAGAAAAAAAAGACCAATCAAAAGTTGCACGAACATTTTTAATCACATCTCGCGTTCTTCGTCCGTATCCTTCCCGATTTTTTAGCGTCTCGCGTTCACGTAGCTTTTTGCTCGTATCGAGCGTCTTTTATCGCCCTTTCCTTTGTTTATTCTAATTCCAGCGGCGCGTATAGCCAGCGTCAGAAAAGAAGCTCGCCCGAGCACGGGCTTAGCCGAGAGGCGGCCGAGATAATTCGACGATTAGGCGGAACATAAGCCGGATAACATTATCTCGACTGATTTAAAACAGTATCTTGGGAGGAGTAATGCTAAGCACCGCGGGAAACGTGATTGCAATTCGCTTGGGCCGTATATGGCACCATTGTCCAAACCAGTTCGATGTTCGCCGCGCAATCGAGAACGTATTACGCTCACGATAAGGCGTCGCGATTGCCGCAGATATATTTAATTGAAAATGCGGCCTGCCCTAACGATAATGCCCGCTGAATTCCACGGTGGCGCGGTCGTTATTAAATCATTTAAACTGCTCGATTAAACGTGTTTTCTGTATGATAATTTCTTCGACTACGGCCGACTGGCTTTATACATTTCAGAGTTTAGATTTTTTAGAATTCATTTTCGTGTTAATGCGTGGATAATTTCCAAGTGGAATTTTCTATCTCTTTTCAAGGCAGAACAAGGACTTTGTAATTAACCGATTGTTAATTATCAGGAGGGCTTGTAAATTGCATTTCTGAGTACTCGTCGCATTTTGTTGATTAGTGATTTGAATATTTTGAGGCTATGGGAGTAAAAATAGTAACGAAATTTTATCAAACTTTCGAATCTGTAAAATAATACACCTCTCCATGTTTCCTTCAAAATTGTTTTCTACAGTCGAAATCGATTACTAGGAACGTTCGCAGAAATTTCCAACTGACTCCGAAATTTTTTGAAATTCAATTACAATCTTAATGGCCTTCAGTTCCCGTGGCTCGTTTCTTTGAATGTCGGACGAAGAACGAAAACGACGACTTTTTAATTACAAACTCGGTTTTCTGGGGAAAATAGGGGATGCTGTGTGATCAGACATTGCAATCTTCTGAAGTTTCATTTTACGACTGCTCCATTTTAGGTCTCGTGAAAACATTTTCGCTCCTTCACTCTTCGATTGTTTTCTGGATTTAAAGAATTCGTTGAATAAATTATAATTTCTGTGCTCAGTGTAATTTTATTTATGTAGTGAAATATAATTGTAAAGATTCATAAATTTACAAGGAAGTAGAAACACTTTGAATTTTTAAAACTTGGTACTTTTGTAAAGAAAGATATATTCAACCCAGATCTATTTAACCCAGACCATTGATATTGTACATAAAATATTATTCGAAATCGTTACATTTCGAAGAGAATTTATATTATTTAGAATTTATAATAAAGAACTCTAATTCCTAAACTTCCCTAGATCCATTCTCCACATCTACACCCACTGCTTCGTGTTCGATGAGACCTCCACGACTCCGTGGACAATTACATTCGCGTTGCTACCTCGATTCATCCTGATCTTTCCGACGACTTTCTCGCGGCT